GCGTAGGGGGCTTTGCTCGGGCCGCAGACCGCAGCGCGCCGGCGCGGCGGCAAAGAACTAGGGGAAGGAACTATTCGAAAAAAAAATCGTTATCATCGCCACTAATAGCAGCAATCACAACAACTAAGATCACGAAATAAACTAGTGTAAACCATGTTCAAACAATAGGGCTTATTGCAAAGTGATGGGCCATCACCACATTTTCGAAATATAAAATGATTTTTGTTTTGTATGAATTTTATCCTCAATTGTCAAAGTACAGAAGAAATAAAAAAAATCTCGAGTCCATTGGAAATTAAAGCCATGTGCCCACAAGGTCAACATATCTGTCTCGAACTCTAGGCATAAAAGTATGTAAGAAATATTTGAATATATAGTATTATTAAACTTGGTTTTATTTAATTTACATAAATTGCTTACGTTTACTATAGTACATTAGTGTTCTGAGTTTTAGAAATTAAATTTCAGTCTTTCATTGGAGCTGCAATCCCGTTGGTTGGGGCATCATTCACCTGTGATTCCCACTACACGTAACAGGAAAATAACACTAATTAAATAATTAAAAATTTCAAAGAAACAGAAGTCTTTAGAAAAACAATAAAACTGTTTTTGTACTGTACGACATGGACGTCACTGTCACCGCCACAGACCTAGTAGACTAAAAGAACAAAGTCGAAAACCTTCGTCAATAATACTAATTATTATCAAATTATTAGATCACTTATAAATAGTAAATTAAAAAAGCTCCAGAGCAGAGTAAAAAGATGGAGGAAAATAACTTTATTAACGAGCCACTTTTTCCTGAGAGCGTAGGTGAGCCATTAGCTACTTGGCTGTCCACGAGACGCCGCATCCTAGGCACAGGTACAAACGCTTTGGCCACCCCTGAGTAAGATCGCAGTATACATAAGGAGCGAATCCACAAGGATTATAATCCTACGAGACCAGATATCTCATTCATTTATTCCATTCCTTAAACTTAGAAATTTAGCAACATTTTGGAATAACGTTTTAACGATCCTCTTAAAGTTGTTTTAAGCAATGAACTTTACCACTATTACAATAACTAACTCAAGAGTCCCGTCTTGTTGGGGTATTTATTATAACAATTCTTTATTAAAGAGAAAGGGGAATTCCATCTATTCCCACCCTATGGCGGAGCCTACTTCTATCTATTATGTTTATTGCTTGTCGTTTGTAAAGACAATAAAATTAAACGTGTTAGTTAAAATTTAACGTAATTTGTTACGTGTGTACCATATTCCAGCCAATAGTTAACATTGTAATACGCGTTCCCTTACCCACGGGAATTTGTTAACATCTACCCCTCTACGCTGAATGCAGAATTGAACTGAATAATTGAATTGAATTAATCCCTTATTTTACGTGGCGAGACTCAGGCAATGAAGCCTGCGTTTCCGTCTGACCACGCAAATTTCGCTACGCTCCTTTCACCAACTAGCAGAGAAAGGAGGTATTTCTTGGGCGAGACACTGGCGATTTCAATTTAGCTCAGGGCGACATTTTGGCTTGAGGATCTTTTACATGCAAGTAAATCTACTAACATGGGACAGTCGGGTTTACTTCCCTTCCGAAGGAAGGAGTACGAATGATTTTTTTCGCCCTTCCAAATCCACGGCTTGGATCGGACTCGCCAACTTGGGTTCAACAGGCCGGTACGCTAGCCGTTACACCATCGCCGCCGCAGAATCGTAAGTGAACACCTCTGTTGGATTCGTGGGCAACAACTCCCATTTCTCGCAACAATGTTTTCGTCGCGCGGCACCACGGGCGGCGGCCAGCCATCGCATTCCACCGGCGAAAGAGGGCGTCCCCCCCCAACCCCACTCGCACACCTCGTCCAGCCGCAGCACACCGCGATGGGCTGCCACATCTCCGTCACCGACGACACCGTCACCATCGGCGAGGAGTCGGAGTCGGAGAAGCGGAAGAGGTACCGCCGGCTGAAAAGGATACGCAGGAAACTGGACGAGGAACGAAGGAAAATGCTGGAAGAGCAAATGAAGAAGCAGAAGTCGGGGAGCGATGAGGACGACGCGAGCGGGGCGCAGCGTGAGGGGGAGGAACGCAGAGGGGTGCGTGTGAGGGAGCCCGGCGAAGGAGCCGGCGAGGGCGCGGGCGAGGGCG